ACTCCCCAGCTCACCCCCTCAATCTCCTCACATATCACAAATCTACTAAGCGAAATATCAGCATGGATGTCACATCACTACCTTAAACTCAATCTTTCAAAAGCTGAGCTTGTAATATTTCCTCCTCCCCGATCCCCCACTCATGACTTTACCATTAAGATCAACAGCACTACCATTGGTCCTTCCCCTCATGCCAGGGTGCTAGGCATAATCCTAGACCAGGGGTGGGCAAACTTTTTGACTTGAGGGCCGCAATGGGTTCATATATTGGACCCGGGGGCCGGACCAAGAGTAGATGAATGATGTGTATGTGTCATCCATAGTAAGTATAGTAATATTCCCCCATAGTAAGCATAGTAATTAATCCCCCATAGTAATTCATCCCCCATATAGTAATTCATCCCCCATAGTAATTCATCCCCCATAGTAATTCATCCCCCATATAGTAATTCATCCCCCATAGTAATTCATCCCCCATATAGTAATTCATCCCCCATATAGTAATTCATCCCCCATAGTAATTCACCCCCCATAGTAATTCATCTCCCATATAGTAATTCATCCCCCCATATAGTAATTCATCCCCCATAGTAATTCATCCCCCATAGTAATTCATCCCCCATAGTAATTCATCCCCCCTATAGTAATTCATCCCCCATATAGTAATTCATCCCCCATAGTAATTCATCCCCCATATAGTAATTCATCCCCCATAGTAATTCATCCCCCATATAGTAATTCATCCCCCATATAGTAATTCATCCCCCATAGTAATTCATCCCCCCTATAGTAATTCATCCCCCCTATAGTAATTCATTCCCCATATTAATTCATCCCCCATATTAAGTCCCCAAGTCCCCCCTGTGTCAATTCACTTACCTTTGCTTCGCGCGTTCCTCTCGCCGTGTTCCCGCGCCGTTCTGGTGTAGCATGGAAATCTGTCTCCTATGAGGATCTGTCCCCCTCGACGTATCTGCGCATGTGCCAGTTTCAGGCATTAGCAGCCGATCGGCGATCTCCGGCACATGCGCATATACGTCGAGGGGGACAGATCCTCATAGGAGACAGATTTTCATGCTACACCGGTCTTCAGGGGGGACTGTGAGAGGAGCCTAGCTCCGCGGGCCGGATTAAAAGGTCCGCCGGGCCGTAGTTTGCCCTTTGCTGTCCTAGACTCTGACCTCCTTTGCGCCCCACATCCACTCACTGGCTAAATCCTGCTGCCTCAACCTCCGGAACATTTCCAAAATCCGCCCCTTCCTGACCAATGACACCACAAAACAACTTATCCACGCCTTGCTTATATCCCGCCTCGATTACTGCAACTCCCTCCTCACTGGTCTACCGTTACACAGGCTATCCCTCCTTCAGTCTATTATGAATGCTGCTGCTAGACTCATACACCTTACCAACCGATCAGCAACTGCTGCCCCTCTCTGCCAATCCCTCCACTGGCTTCCACTAACCCAACGTATAAAATTCAAAATACTAACCACAGTGTACAAAGCCATCCACAACACTGCCCCTAGCTACATCACTGACCTCATCCGCAGATATCGCCCAAATCGCCCACTCCGCTCCTCTCATGATATCCTCCTCTCTAGCTCCCTCATCACCTCCTCCCACGCTCGCCTCCAGGACTTCTCCAGAGCCTCTCCCATCCTCTGGAACTCCCTACCACAGCATGTCTGGTCAGCCCCCACCCTGTCTGCCTTTAGGCAATCTTTGAAAACTCACTTCTTCAGGGAAGCCTACCCCACCTCTTTTTAAGAACTGTACTTGAATCACCTCCACCAGATCATCCCCCGCAGCTATCACCTTTTGTATCACCTCTAGATTGTAAGCTCCATGAGGCGGGCCCTCCTATTCCTTCTGTACTGAAATGTATCGTAATTGTACTGTCTCCCTTATATTGTAAAGCGCTGCGCAAACTGTTGGCGCTCTATAAATCCTGTATAATAATAATAATGCTAGTAAAACCAAGCTACTCCAGGCAATCTAGTCAGGTCCGGGTACACCTGGCACCCCAGTCAGATCAGAGTACACTCGGTACCTTAGTCAAGTCAAGGTACACCTGGCACCCTAGTCAGGTCAGGGTACATTTGGCACACTAGTCAGATCCAAGTACTCCTGGAATGCTGGTAAAACCAAGCTACTCCAGGCATTCTAGTCGGGTCAGGATACACTTGGCACCCTAGTTAGGTCAAGGTACAACTCTGGCATCCTAGTTAAGTCAAGGTATACCTGCCACCCTAGCCAGGTCAATGTACTCCTGGAATCCCAGTAAGAACAGGCTACACCAGGAATTCTGGTCAGTGTACAACTGGCATTCTAGTCATGTCAGGGTAAGACTACACTCGGCACCATAGCAACACCAGGTTACACCAGGTACCCTAGTCAGGTCTGGGTACACCAGACACCCTAGTTGGGTCACGGTACAACTGGCACCCAGGTCAGAGTACCCGTGGCATTCTGTTAAGGTCAGGGTACAACTGGCATTCTAGTCAGGTCAGGGAACACCAGGCACCCCCATTAAAAGCAGGTTTTATCTGCCACCTTAGTCAGGTCAGGGTACATTTGCCACTCCAGGCAGGTCAGATAACAACTGGCACCACAGTCAGATTAGGATACACCTGACATCCTAGTCATATCAGGGTACACCAGGCATCCTGCTAAAACCAGGCTACATCTACCACCCCAGTCAGGTCAAGGTATGACTGGTATCCTATACCTGCCACCCTAGCCAGGCCAGGGTCCACTTGACACTCTAGTCAAATGAGACTAAACTCGGCTCCCTAGCAACACCAGGTTACACCAGGTAACCTAATCAGGTCAGAGTACACTGACAACCTAGTGAGGTTAGGGGACAACTTGTTCCCTAGTCAAGTCAGGTTACACCTGGCATCCTTGTTGTGTTAGGGGACACCAGGCACCCAAGTAAAACCAGGTTAAATCTGCCAATTTATTCAGGTCTAGTCAGGTTGGTGTACCTCAGGGTACACCTGACACCCTAGTCTAATAAGGTTACATGTGGCACTCTGGTAAGACCAAGCTACACCAAGTACCCTGGTCAGGTCTAGGTACACCTGGCACCCTAGTGAGGTCAGGGTACATCTGGCACCCTAGTCAGGTCAGGATACACCTGGAACCCTAGTCAGATCAGGGTAAACCTGGCACCCTAGTCAGGTCAGGGTACACCTGGAACCCTAGTCAGGTCAGGGTAAACCTGGCACTCTAGTCAGGTCAGGGTATACCTGGCACCCTAGTCAGGTCAGGGTACACCTGGCACCCTAGTCAGGTCAGGGTATACCTGGTCTCCTTTCGTGCACTCTTCAGTTTTCTGAATCCTTTGATGTCTGATAGTTTTTGCTGTTTTTGTAAAACACTTCACAGACATGGAACTTCTTAGTACTCCTAGAAACTATATGATGGGGTAAATATCAGCTTTAGGTACAGGGATCAGATATGGGTAAAATGGCTTTGTGACAGGGGTTTTGGAAGGGACTGCAGGATAGCCTCTTGTCTACTGACTATGGCCCTGGCATCTGAGGGGGCTCTATTCTTTGGGAGGTGCATGCCTGGAGGGCCTTTGAAGTAGTTTTGTTTTGAATTCAAATTCATATCTCCCCGAAAAACACAGACTCTGAGAATTGGAGGACTTGGATACAGATTTGGGGCCCCTGTGTTTTGTTAGGGTATAGACAGCCCAAACCAGCATTGACCGCTTCAACCCCCTCCTGGACTCAGAGCAGATGTTAATATAATCAGCTCCAAACAACCTGATGCTGAGGTCTCCTTCTGTAATCTGTTTATTAAGGAGTGATGTGTTTACTGTTGTGTCTTTCTCCCATTGTCAATTGAGTAAATTGAGATACCTATTGTTTCTGTCTGTTGGCAAATATTCCTGGAGTTTCCTATATGATGGGATTAGTCTTGTGTCAACTTTACCTGGTTACCTAACCATTGTGGGATGTTTATCCCAATGTGTAATATTAGTTTTTATTGTTTATGTGGGGACTGCCCATATTTTTGAAGTGTATAAAGACTTGTATTTCTGTTCAATAAAGTAGTTCCTGTTTGCACCTAAGCTAGAGTCATCTAGTTATTGGGTGCAGTTCCCTGCTAGAATACCTTGGTCCTGTGTTCCATTGGCGAGGAAGCAGCTGTTTAGAGGTGGCACCCCGGTCAGGGTGCAACGCGGTCCGTCACAGGCTTTTCTCCTGAAGGAACTGTTGTATTGTTATCTTTTGAGAAGGTAGCCCACGTCCCCTTGTAAGAACTCCCTTAGTAAATATTTGACTGAAACCCTCATTTTAGTAGACATAGCACCTAATATAATCATGTATTTGTAACCTAAAGGAAAAAAAGACAACCACATTTATACTGGAGGAACTCTTTATTATAATCTTGCATAAATTATTAAATTAACACATAGAATATTAGCATATCTGTATAAAGGGCTGGTCCTACACGCTGTAAATGTGAACAGTGGTCTTCAAACTTTTCCCAAAATTATGTCATAGATAGACATTTCTTAGCACTAAGATAGCTTTAGGGGAAAGAACTTAAAAGGTGGACAACCAATAAATCCAAATGCTGTAGATATGTTACAGTGGCTAAACTTGATGAGACGTGCTGGGGAGCATACAAAATGTTGCAGATAAACTTCAGTGGGTGAACATAATGGACAATGACCCTTCAATGAACTCCCATGTCAGCATAAAAAACAGAAAAAAAATATTTTATTTCCTATTATGGAAGCACTATAATACACGCACATTTAGAAAAGGGACCGCTTGTGCCAAAAGAAGAAAACTAAGAGGACAACTACCAACTCAGCAGGTATTAAAAAGATACTGGGCCTCCAAGATCACATCAAGGAACGTTTTAGGTCATGGAGGTTCCTTTTTTTAGAAGCAAGGTCTGGAAAGCCAACATCAACGATGACCCTTGTTTCCTCTTCTGTATGTTAGTTACGACAGCCCGTATGTCAAATTCTCCTGAATGTGCGCTTGTTCATGCTCACCAAGGTTTTGTCTCTGTAGGAAGCATTTCCTGCACTGGGAACATAAATAGGGCTTCATCCGCCATGTGAATCCTTTGGTCCAAGAAAAGGAGTGATTTCCTCATAAAGAACTTCCCACATTTGGAACGCAAATAAGGTTTCTCTCCCCTGTGACTTCTGAAGTGGAGAAGTTCTGGCTACATTCAGGACATGAACACAGCTTCTCCCTAATGTGACTTTTACAGTGGATATCAAAAGACGACTTGTTTACAAAACTCTTGCAACATTCGCTGCACAAATACAACTTCTCCCCGTTTTTTTTTTCCGATGGTTCACCAGAGATGCTTTAACCACAAGCCTACAGGGCACTTATACCCCCTTCCTGCCCAGGCCAATTTCCAGCTTTCAGCGCTGTCGCACTTTGAATGACAATTGCGCAGCCATGCAACACTGTACCCATATGATTTTTTTTAAAATTTTTTGTGTCAGAGCTTTATTTTGGTGGTATGTAATTACCTCTGGGTTTATTTTTTTCTTCAACAAACCAAAAGCCACTGAAAATTTTGAAAAAAAAGTTTTTTCTTAGTTTTTGTTATAAAAGTTTGTAAATAAGTGATTTTTCTCCTTCACTGATGTGCGCTAATGAGGCTGCAGTGATGGGCACTGATAGGTGGCACTGATGGGCATTGACAGGCATCACTGATGGGCACTGAAGGGCAGCAATGATATATGGCACTGATTGGCATTGATAGGTGGCACTGACTGGCACTGATGGGTGACACTGAAAGGCAGCTCAGATGGGCACGGATATGTGGCATTGATGTGCACTGGTAAGCACTGATATGTGGCATCGATGTGGCACTGATGAGCACTGACACAAGGCACTGATGGACACTGACAGGTGGCACTGCACTGCTGGGGCTACACTGATCATCAGTGCCCTGATGATCAGTGTACATGTCGCCTCCACGGAATGTCGATTACCGGCTCTCTTCTCCTCAAGAGCTGTCAGCGTGACAGCTCGAGAGGAGAGAAATGCCGATAACCAGCAGTTCCCTGTTTACATGCGATCAGCTGTGATTGGACACAGCTGATCACATGACTGAGCCGACATCTTCGGCTCTTTCCGTGGATCGGTGATCCGCTGTGTCTGAGGCTCCCTCGCATGCGCGGTGAGAATGGGAGGACGTCATATGACGTCCTCCCAGAACAAGAGAACCACCTTGCACCCGTCATTGGACTATATGGCGAGCGGGAGGTGGTTAAATACAAAGCATTTCCCACTCAAAACACGAGGAAAGTTTCTCTCCTGCATGAGACCTCTGGTGAAGGATGAGACAGGACTTCTGCATGAAGCACTTCCCGCATTCAGAACAGGAATGAGGCCATTCCCTCATGTGAATCCTTTGGTGTTTAAATAGAATGGATGGATGGGCAAAAGATTTCCTGCATTCCGGACAGGAATGTGGCTTCTCCTCTGTGTGAGTCCTTTGGTGCTCGACAAGGTCTTGAAACGTTTCCCACATGTGAACAAAAATGAGCTGCATGGTCGAGTTGCCATAACAAAAAGCCTTGTGACGCATGTCATAGTATTGTCAGGTATATTATAACCGGGCTTTTTTGTGGCATTGGTGCAGTAAAGTCTTCTTTCTGGCAACTTGACCATGCAGCTCACTTTTGTTCACATATTGTTGTATTATGCTCCTTGAAACAACCACACCATATTTTTCCAGAGCAGCCTGTATTTCTCCTGAGGTTACCTTTGGGTTTTTCTTTGTATCCAAAACAATTCTTCTTGCAGTTGTGGCTGCAATCTTTCTTGGTCTACCTGACCTCGGTTTGGTATCAGGAGATCTCCAAATTTTCCACTTCCTAATAAGTTTTTGAACTGTACTGACTGGCTTATTCAAGGCTTTGGATATCTTTTTATATCCTTTTCCATCTTTATAAAGTTTCCATTACCTTGTTACGCAGGTCTTTTGATAGTTCTTATCTGCTCCCTGTGGTTCATTATCTAGCCTGCTCAGTGCATCCCCGTGAGAGCTAACAAACTCATTGACTAATCACAGACACTAATTGCGATTTAAAAAGCCACAGATGTGGGAAATTAACTTTTAATTGCCATTTCAGCCTGTCTGTGTCTGTACCAAAGACAAACATTCCAGGGGATGGAAACTTTTGATCAGGGCCATTCGGGTGATTTCTGTTGTCATTATGATTTTAAAAAGGAGCCAAACAACTATGTGACAATAAATGGCTTCATCGGATCACCATCCCTAAATAAAAGACTTTTTTTGGCATGATCAGTCATATTTTCAATATCAATAAATTTCACGGTTTCCACCAGGGGATGCAAACGTTTAAGCACAACTGTAACTATATATATATGATATACAGTATGCGTTTTGTATAAAGTATATAATATATATATATACTTTATACAAAACACATACTGTATATAAATATTATAGTGGGTATTTTTGAGATCCTCAGGGGCGGGGACTAATCTGAACAGTTAATATATATATATAATATAAACACAAACACATGACCATCATTCTGCAGTTTTCTCATACAACTGGTCAGATTAGTCCCCACCCCCGAGGATCTCCAAAGTCCCCACTACACTCATTAGGAAAATCTCTTTAGAGGAATGTAGCACTAATCCCTTGGGGTTGCTGTTGAATTTGGGTCCCCCTATAGTCCTGTTCAACCAGCTTTTCACACACGTGTTCATCCATTGTCAAAAATCAGGCCTTGAGCAGTGGTTTCTGTTTTTTTTTTCTTTACTGAGGGGATTAAACTTGGATGGGGTGAGGGGGAAATTGGATGCCCAAGGGAACCGAAATCTTGAGGACAAACTTCCTGAACTATTCACAGCTTCTCCTTTAAGACACATGTGACATAAATGTACAGATTTGAGTAGATAAGCATGTGATCAGCAGCAATATGTAATCATAAACGTAGTTGCATGCCTTGTTATTAAAGATGTATTCCGTCAAATATTCAGTCATAGGTACTCAGACAGGTGGTCATCAATTAGCTTCTGAAAAGCCTAGCTTCCTCTGGAAGTGACACCTTGGGGCTAATAAGGTTTTTGTCACCTTCTGGGGAAACCGGTTTTGAAGGAAATGGTTTTGACAGTTCGGCTGCAGATGACCAGGGGAGCTTTAAAGTATCTACATAGATCAAAGAAATATGTTTTATCGCTCATAACAGCTAAAATATTAGTTGCAGAGAGATGAAAATACTTCCTTTTGATGCTGCACTCTGTTCATCACACCGACACCTAAAAACCATATTTGTGGATTAGGTAGAAGGCCATGAAAATGCAGGAAATGGTTAGTTGGCGCTGGATCGCGACAGTCGAACAGTGTTTGGTACTGTCACGATTGGGCTGATGCGCTGGTGTCGGAAATCCAATCCCCAACTTGGTGTTTCAAGCCTGTCCTGGTCCGATTGAACTTGGGCAGGTCAGCACCCAGAACATCCTGTGGGCAGGTACAGGAACACCCTCCAGGGTCAATTGGCCGAGGACTAATGTCCTGCTTACGTCCATATCCCCATAAATGGAATACCCGGGCATTGGGACATTGTAATTCGTATTGAGCTGATTGATTGACCAACGGATTGCTGACGTTTCTGACTTGCTCCAGTTGCAGGGTAAATCCTGGTAAAGTTTTACTTCTGTCTTTTATTCCCTTTTATTTTATAGTAATTAGTCATTTGTGTGTCTTCTTATTTTTTGTATTTCTGTAACTTTTTATATTTTTTACATATTTTATGCACTGCCCACTTTTGGGAAATTAAAGCTTAAAATTAATTAGTGACTTCTGTGTATTTAAGCACGGGCTCATATCTCTGGAGAGATTAGACTGGAGAGATTAGATTGTATTGCATTTTAGCGCCTTTAAACGCGCTCGGTCAAGCTCATTGCCAATCTGTATGCAATTGCACTGTGTGTGGGCATATTGCGTACAGATTGTAAAAGGTAACAGATCGGCCAGACGGAGATCTGTGTGTGTGGGCTGTCTCAGCAGACCGTTCTGCAGATAAACTGCTGGGTGTTGGCAGGCTACCTTTTGTGGTGTGTCTGGTGTGGGGGTGTGTGGACAGTGGAAGAGTGATTAACACCGGGGTTCTGGTTTGTAGGATAGTTGGAGGAATCCTAGAAGGGTGTGTCGATTGCTAGGCTGCTCCTCAACTCCAGTCAGTGCACCAGATTGTACATAAGATTTGTATCTGCCAGTGTGTGTGTGGTCGACCAGCAGGATTTGAGTGGAGTCTCCCTCTGGTGATGGCCAGAAGGTAGTGCGGGCTGTGAAAGTGTATCATGACTGATCTTATATACGGTTTAATATATTCAAAGTTAAGTCCCCTTTATTCCCTCTTAACCCAAGTCACGGCCGCACGTGCGTGCCTCGGTTAGCTAGTCGCTGTAGGCGTGTGGGGGATCCGTGACAACACACATTCTCTGTTGGAGTGCTAGCCAGCAACTCCAGGTGTAGTACCCCAGATGAACTCCTCTTCACCCAGCAGTCTGGTAACTTTCCTTTCCTGGGCAGGGGATCTGGCTCCTGTTCCTTCAGCTAAGGTGCACAGTCACTAGAAGGGGGATAATCTGGTGTCCCACCAGAGTGCTCCTAACCCTATCCACCCAGGGGGTGTAGGTGTACTAACTCAGTTCTTCTCCTGCATGTTTGTGAGTTGGCTGCTGCTACCAGACCTATCAACTGGACGGCTCCTTTCTTGCCACACAGGTGGTCCTCTCTCAGGAGACCAGTGAGTCCTGAGCTTTCCTGCTCTCCATCTGCAGGCTCGCAGGCAGGCCCAATCCTAGCAGACCTCCTGGCAGCCTTCTCTCCCCAGTCTCACATCTTCCTCACTCCAACTCCTCTCCTCTTACTGAGAAGAATCCTACTACACCTTTTAAGGGAGTCCAGCCAAGCCTCCTGTTGGGGACTGGCTGAGGTCCCTAAAAAGTGCAGCCAACCACTCCTCAGATCCTCCTACTGCCTCCAAGAAGGGGATGGGCTTTTGCCATGTTGGTGTCCCCTTCCTCTTAAACATCATTGTTCT